CCTCTTCTGATCCTCGCTCTCAACGGGCCGTGTATGCGTAGCATCCAAACTCCCTAACCCTCGTGCTTCGGCACTCCACCCCCTCCTCTGTCAGTATCCGTCCGGTTCAACCTTAAGGTAGCCACGGTGGTCCCGACAGTCTAACTCCGGTCCCGGCTCCATCCCCCTCCTACTTTCCGGGCACTCCATCCGCCCCCCACCCTTCCCCGCCCCAGGAACCTCCTGCTCCTTCATAGCCCTCCATTCCCCACCTCCCCAAGCATCCTTACATTCCCTCTGCTGGGGATCTCGTTCCCTTGCCCAGCGGACACGGGTCACTCCTCTCCCTCCAGCCGCCAAGGGGGTTTGTTGGGACAGGTGTTGGTCCGTGGGGTGAGTCAGTACTGCTCCTGAGGGGCGGGGGGAGGGGGGGAGGTTGCCGTTGCCGTGTCCCAAGCCTCAGGCGTTCATCGTTGTTTTTCGGGGGATCCTGTTGCTTGTTCAAGCAGGACCGCGTCATCATGGCATGCGTGCTCCGTCCTGCATTCCAAGGGATTTCCCTTGGGGGTTTCAGGTCCGTTACCGGTACCGCCTGCTGGCAGGGGGGAAGGCCTTCTATCCGAGTGTGCGGGGCATCTCCCACTTCCTGCTTCTGACGGGGATGTCTATCGTGTCCTGTCCTCCGACGCCCCAGGGGGTGGTTCATGCACCATGCCCTAAGCGTCCGCTGCGCCGGGCACATCTCCATGTGGTGATTGATGGATTCTTCCTCCGTAAACCATGCCTCCTTCAACAGCCGGCCCCCTTTAGTACTATCCTTTGCCAGGACCTGAACCTGGTCGAAGTCAAAGCGGTGGCCACTTTCAGCCATATGAGACCAGACCTGCGAGTGCTGTTCCCCCCTTCTTACCACCAACTTATGTTCGTGTATGCGGGTCCCCAACCGTTTGGACGTCTCCCCCACATAATTGTGTGGGCAGTCCATGCATCTAATCCGGTATACCACCGCTGACCTTTCAGCGATGGGGAGTTGGTCCTTGGGGTGCATAAGTTTGGCCCGTAAGGTCTGGTCAGGTCTATGGGCCACCTTGATGTTATACGGGGCAAGAAGTCTGGCTGTAGCCTCGGAGACATTATGGATGTACGGAAGGGTGACACGCCCGGGCCGCTCCTGGGATTGCTCCTCGGAATTCCGCCTTGCAATGACGTCTCACAAAGTTTAAAGGGTATCCGTTCAACCGGAAGACACGGTGCAAATACCTGGTCTCCTCCATTCTAGACTCCACCGTGCTGCAGTGTGAACGGACACGCCCAAACAGCGTCTTGACACACCCAATTTTATGGACTACCGGATGGTTACTATCATAGTGGAGGATGCGGTCCGTGTGCGTGGGTTTGCGATAGACCCTGGTGTTGACCGATCCATCTGGCAGTCGTTGCACAAGGACATCCAGAAATGCTATCGCGCCCCGGACCTCATCCTCCACCGTGAACTCAATATCGTCGGAGGAGGACAGGACACGATAGACATCCCCGTCAGAAGCAGGAAGTGGGAGATGCCCCGCACACTCGGATAGAAGGCCTTCCCCCCTGCCAGCAGGCGGTACCGGAAACGGACCTGAAACCCCCAAGGGAAATCCCTTGGAATGCGGGACGGAGCACGCATGCCATGATGACGCGGTCCTGCTTGAACAAGCAACAGGATCCCCCGAAAAACAACAATGAACGCCTGAGGCTTGGGACACGGCAATGGCAACCTCCCCCCCCTCCCCCCGCCCCTCAGGAGCAGTACTGACTCACCCCACGGACCAACACCCGTCCCAACAAACCCCCTTGGCGGCTGGAGGGAGAGGAGTGACCCGTGTCCGCTGGGCAAGGGAACGAGATCCCCAGCAGAGGGAATGTAAGGATGCTCGGGGAGGTGGGGAATGGAGGGCTATGAAGGAGCAGGAGGTTCCTGGGGCAGGGAAGGGTGGGGGGCGGATGGAGTGCCCGGAAAGTAGGAGGGGGATGGAGCCAGGACTGGAGTTAGACTGTTGGGACCACCGTGGCTACCTTAAGGTTGAACCGGACGGATACCGACAGAGGAGGGGGTAGAGTGCCGAAGCACGAGGGTTAGGGAGTTTGGATGCTACGCATACACGGCCCGTTGAGAGCGAGGATCAGAAGAGGGGAGAGAGAGAGAGGTGGATGGAGGGAGAAGGAAGGGGGAAGGGGGGAGA